GCTTCTAAATATTGTAATTAGAAGCGGTTTGGGGGTAAACCGCTCCCCATTCCCCAAAAAAAACACGGACCCCTCTCTCAGCTCCCTTATTTCTTCTCTCTCCTCTCCCCCCTTTTCTCACGCCCCTTCTTCTTCTCTCTCCTCTCCCCCCTTTTCTCACGCCCCTTCTTCCGTCATTTTCTCACTCCTCTCCTCTCTCCATCTCCTTCGTTCTCTTTCTGCTCTTTCCTTCTCCTCTCTTAAGCCTCCCTTTGTTTTCTCTCTCCTCTTATCACCGGCAAAAATCTGAGGAAAAAACGAGCAAAATCCGAGCAAAATTCCAAGAAGGTTAGTGTTGTAGATCTAGATTTTTTTTTCTTTTGTTTTTAATTTAGTTTATTTTTAATATATTTATTTTATTTTTTGGTTTTCTGGTGGTGAATTTTGGTGGTTGTTAGTGGTTTTAGGGTTGTGGTGGTGGGCTGGTTTAGGTATTCGGTGGTTAGGATGGTTTGGATTGTTGGTTAGGGTGGGTGGAGTTGGTGGGTTCAGGGTATGGTTATGGGTGGGGATGGCATAGTGGTGGACAGAGGTGGAGGTGAGAAAGGGCGTGGATGCAGGCTCGGGGTGGCGTAGTGGTGGACAAGGGTGGAGGTGGGAAAGTCATGGATGCAGGCTGGGGGTTTTGGGTTTTTCTGGGTTCGTAGGGATTTCTGGGTTCTGGGAAAAATCGAGCAATAATATTTTTTTTTATTGTACATAAAAATGTTCATGTTTTTTTATTAATTTGTTGTCCAGGTATTTCAATTTAATTTTGATTTTTGTTGGATGCGAGGTGGCGTCGGCTGCGGTGGTGGGCTGCTGGCGTCAGTTGCGGTGGTGGGCTGCTGGCTTCTGTTAAATGTGTTAATTGCTTGCGTCGGCTAGTGGCGGGCTGGTGGCTTTGACTGCGGTGGTGGCGGAATAGGGTGGTGGTGATTTTGGTTGTAATTTTTTTTGGTGGTGAATTATAATGTAATAATATTAAAATTAATTATTAATGGAAATATAAATTTTTATACATATGTTTTATAAAATGTGTGTTAATTTCTGTTAATTTTTTTTTTTATTTTTGAAATTCACAATAGGCAGCGGTTCAGCATATAACCGCTTCCCATTCCATTCAAATTGGAAGCGGTTTGAAACGCTTCCCATTTAAAGAGACAATGGGAAGCCCCCTAATGGCAAGCGGTTCAAAAAGCGCTTCCAATTATGGTTTTGAACTGCTTCCAATTTACTATTTTCTACTAGTGGTAGATCCACTCGTCCCACTAGTTGTACGACACTTCCTCCAAACCTTACTAAAGGGTGAGATACCGGGTGTATGCAGTCAGGTTTGTACTTAAGCTTTGCCAAGCACTTGTTGCTAATGAGATCTGAGGAACTGCCGGTATCTATGAGGATCCGGCCAACTCTTTGGTTGGCCACTTTACATTCAATGACAATGGGGTCGTCATGCGGCCCCTTAACACCTCCCAAATCCTCTTCTGTGATGACAATCTATGGGAATGTACTCTTGGTGGTCCATCCTTGATTGACGGAGTTAACATCCAACCGCCTGATGTTATTTTTGTTGCCCCTGATTGTGGGGCCGCCTCCTGCGAAGCCGCCTGCGATGGTATAGACGACGGCGTCATCAGTATCAGAACTGTCAGCCGACCGGTGGCTCTTTTTGGCCGACTGCTTCTGTTTTGGGGGAGCTTTCCCTTTGGGCTTCTTGACTTAGGAGTCAAGATCGCCTTTCTCTGCCAGGCGGTCTAGGTAGCGCATGAGGCTGATACATTCATTGGTTTCATGACCAATGTCTTCGTGAAAATGACAGAATTTATTTTGGTTCCGATTGCTCGCAGAACCTTTCATGGGGGCCGGCTTCTCAATTGAGATCCGGCCATTGATTTCATTGAGGATAGCTTGGCTATCCTTGTTGAACACATACTTGGGTGAGTATGGTTTGTATTCTTTCTTCTTTTTCTAGGACGGCTGTTCAGAGGAGTCGGCCGCCCACATCTCTTTTCTTTTCTTCTCATCTTTATTTGCCGACTGCTTTGGTTGACTCTTTTTTGTCGGACCTCCTTCCGTCCGACTGCTTCCTAGTATTACACAGGTCAGTCGCCTCTTTGTAGGCTTCAGCCTCAATTATGGCTTCTTGAAGGGTGGCAACCCTCTTCCGGACTAAGTCAAATTTGAAGGCCGACCCATCCTTGAGACCTCTGAAAAAATCAGTGTAGGCTACCTCATCCGGCAGCCCTTGTATCTGAATCCGCATTAGGTTGAACCGCCTGATGTAGGAACGGAGTCCCTCCTTCTCTCCTGCTGTATGGTACCTAAGTCAAGGGTTTTCTTCTTAGCAGGGATATTCATGGCAAAGTAGGAGGTAAACAAGTAGGCAAGGGTCTTGAAATTGTTCACGCAACCAGTCGGCAAGTTGCCGAACCATTGTTGTGCAATGCCCTTCAAGGTGGCTGGTAAGCACTTGCACCATGTGGGATCATCCAACCCTTTGAGGTACATAAGGTTGGTGAACGCCATCAGATGGTCCTCTGGGTTAGTAGTGCCATCATAGGCACCTACTAATACATTTTTGACTTTGGCCGGCTGTGCGGCCTCAATAATTTCCTTGGAGAAGGCGGACAGCTGTTCTCCAAGTCTAAGCAACTGTAAATGCCAGTCCAAAGGTTGGACGTTTCTTTCCGCCTGCCCTCCAAACAGGGGAGGCTGCAAGAAATATTGTTGTTGCGGCACGTATGGCTGGGGTGGCACATGCGGAGCCGCTTGGTTATTCTGGGAGCTGGACCGGTGGGAGGTACCGCATGTCTGGCTCTCATAATTTGATTGTGAATACCTAATGGAGGTTTTGTGCAGACTGTCTTGAAAATCGGAAGTAGAGGCCGACTCTGACAGTCGGTCACTCTTCATCTGCTTTAGCAACAATCGAGCATCAGAGTACATTTTCTTCGACCCATCCGCTTGAACATGACGAATGGGCTTTCTCTTCCCTAGTGAGGGAAAGTGGTACTTCGTTAGGTCAATCACAGGCGGCTCCCACTTCCTAGACTTAGGGTAAGGAGTCGCCTCCCGACCCTGCACGGGCTTCTTCCTCCCAGACTGGGAGGGTCTTCTAGCCGACTGCTCCTTTGACGGATCAGGCGTCTTCTTATTGATGAGATCCTGAATCTCCCCTTTGAAGCTATTCATGAAAGTCATGAGTTCACTTCTAGTAATGGGAGCAGATCCCTTAGCCGCCTGTTGATGATTAAGCGGCTGGCCAGCAGGTTTACTAGATCCAGCCAAGCAATCCTTTCGTTCCTTCTTTTCGGAGGAATGAGTTCATCGAGCTCGTAAGGTCCCGTCTGGGGTCGTGTGAGTCTCAAACTCGACCTCATTATAATTGTCAGTATCCTGGTCACTATAGACCTGAGGGTCGTCCATGGGACGCTTCTCGCTTTGATTCGGTACAAACTGTGATTCCATCTCGAAAGTACTCTCCCCACAGACGGCGCCAAAATGTTTCGGGGTTTTCTGATGTCCTGCGGGAGAGTTACAATTCCGGGACTGGTATCCTTGCGCCTGTACCTGCAAAACAACGAAGACTCCTTGTGGTGGGAGTTCCGCCTCCGACGATCAAGTTAGTACTTGTTTGAGGAGTGAATAGTGCGGAAAAGTAAAGGTTGGAAGATCAGGTTCCCCTAGGTGAGGAGTGATCTAGGTGTTTAGGTTCTCTAGGTGAGTGTAATTAATTTCTTAACCCCCTTTAATGAGGATTAATTAATGTATTTATAGCCTTGGGAAGCGTGCCTAATTCTAGGGGTTTTGGGAAAACCCTAGGGCTGATTGGGCTTTTCCTAGGAAGTGGGCCTAGGTGACCTCCTTCCAAGCTGGCAATCAAGAGGCCACATGGCGTGGCTTGAATGGTCCATGGTGGACGAATGGCTGTGTGCCACGTGGCAGGCCCTGAGAGGTCCAAATGGAGGACACTTGGCGGGACCTGATTGGTCCACATGGCGTACACTGATTGGGCGGGAAAATCCCCTAATCACTAGTTATTCAACTTTCTTTCTGATACTAACTTGACCGTCGGAGGCGAAACCGGAGCTTTCGTTGTTTCGCAGGTACAAAGCATCCGGTGGGATATATTCGTGTTGTAATTTTCCAGTAGGACATCCAGAAAACCCCAAAATAGAGACTATTATGCATTCTCTTTTCTACTACTCTCATGCTACTTCTATTTGGCAACATAGTGGATTCATGAACCTCATCGATGATGCCTTAAAGGCTTCGTTCAGGGAGTTCTTTAGCTTGGTGGTTGGTAAAGTTAATAAACTGATTTTAATCTTCTCATGTCTTGTGTGGACTGCGTGGTCTTGTAGAAATAAGGTAGTTTTTGAGGGGGGTATTGACCTGATTAGTGTTGCCATCGCTGTAGGTTATGTGTGAATGTGTGAGAAATATGCAATTTATAATGCAAAGATGGGTGGGAATGTGGCTGCTACTGCTATTCCCTCGAGTGTGGATTGGAATGCTCCTAGGCGTGGCTGTGTGAAGGTGAATTTTGATGCATATGTTCCTAATAATGGTGTCGTAAGGCTTGGGGTCGTGGCAAGGGATGACCAAGGGGCCTTGTTGCTGTAAGGAAGACGAGATTTGTGTGGTCGTCAGAGCTGGCTAAAGCAGCAGCAACACGCTATGGAGTTGAACTTGCGAGAAGGATGGCATATGAGGAGTTGGTGTTGGAGGGTGATGCCAATAACTAACGTTGTAGAACTATCAAATGCAAGCAAGCAAGGGGGTGCATCTCCTATCAAATGCAAGCAAGCAAGAGGGTGCTTCTCCTATCTTCCTTTTGGATGAGGATATTCATGGATGTCAAGTAATTTTTTGTACATTGCTTGTAACCATGTTGGGGGGGGGGGTGGGGGATACAGTGGCTCATTTTGCTACTAAATGGGATCCGGGTAGTAATAATGAATGACCAAGTGCATAAGTTCCACTACACAAGAATTCATCTTAATTAAAAAAAAATTAATATAACAAACTCACTAGCATATTTGGTGCTAGAAAATACATAGAACTAACTACACTGTTGAATTTGGGAACATCAATCAACAACCTAAAATAATTTTTACTATGTGAATAAGGTGAAGAGAATAAGACCCGTAGAATTGTGACAAATTCGGTTTATTATATCTTCCTTTGGTTTGAGGTTGAGTTGCAAATAAAAGAAAAAACAAAGTATTAAGTTACTTATACTTCCCCAAGAGCATTTGAGGCAGTATAATGCCTAAGAAATCAAATGTGAGGAAATGGAAGATAACCGAAAATAAGGATCCTACATTTCAGTCTTGATGTGACCAGATTTCATAAACGGAATCCTTCCTACTTGCAGGAAACGACAATCATCTTGTATGCAAAAGGAGCAGCTCCGGCTTTTCAACAAATGATTTCCACTCGTTGCAAAATTTTGCTACTGTTGCTCCGTCTAACACCCTATGGTCAGCACCAATATTTACCTGAGAAATATTCGAGAATGTCAGAAAACTCAGATGGATTGCAAGCCATGGGATCCATGGAATACATCACATTCAACTCTAGGATGAAATATTATGTTCATTGGATGATCTGTCCCATCATTATGCGCTTAGTTTCAGTTAAAAAACAGACTTTACATTAAAGTTCCTACTTGAGTTTTTTGCATTTCTCTGCTCCTCAAACTAGGAGTAGACTGCAGACTACTTGTAATATCAAAAGGGCAAAAAGAAGCTGATATCTATGATGTCGATCTTGTCAGCACTTAAAATGACATTAATATCTTAAGTCCAGCATATAGATCATACCATTCCCATTATCACTCTGTTCTGTTCTTGATATTAAATTTAAGTTAAAAGTGCACCGACTCAGCAGATTACTGCAATTATCATTGTTTCTCCAAAAAGATAAAAACTTATCAAACATGATACATCAATACCACTCAGCAAATCAGGTCAAGCATTTTGACATCTTCTCAAAACAATCAGAAGTCAGCAAACTATAATGGGATAGCATATTTATGAATCCAGCGTAAACAGTATTGAGGCATAACTCCTCGCCTGCATATCAATTGTAGAATCCCAGCACAACTCTTAGGTGATCCTCTCAGTTTTCTTTCTCACTGTATGGTTTTCTTTTGGTAATTATGTTAAAGATTTAGGCCCTGTTTGGTTTGATGTAAAATGTTTTCATGGAAAATGATTTTCCCATTTTCCTTTGTTTGGTTTATGAAGGGGTGAAAAATAATTTTTCCAATGGTGGAAAATTGCATCCATAATGGTGGAAACATTTTTCTTTACATAGCAAGGGAACCTAGAAGCCACATTCTCTTCCCTTCTTCTTATCTCCTTTTTACTTTCCTCTCATCCATCCCCACATTTCCATTCCTATTTTAATTTCTCTTGAACTTTTCTAGTAAGAACCAAACAAAGGAAAACTATCTTACAAGTGTGGTTTTCCTTACAAAAAAATGTTTTCCATTGAAAATGTTTTACATCAAACCAAACGAGGCCTTAAGGGCAACTTTTAGTTCCATTTTGGTGCTTAGATCCTACATTCAAGGTTTGCTTTTTGTGGATTTTTTAGCGGGCTTTTATCTATTTGGTTCGGTTTCCGTGTGTATTTTTGGGGCAATTGAGAAGAGATTTTTGCCTTAATACTTATGAAGAAAGCTAGCCTTGACTAGGTATATGAAAATTGTTCTGCGATGGATCTCAAAGATACAAGGTAATGACTTGGGGCTGTGGCATGCATATCATAGAGTATGATAAATGGATGACATGGAAAAAAAAAGAAAAAGAAAATATAAACAAAAAAAGAGGTACATTTTAATGACCTTCTTTTGAAATCAGCAGTAACATTAATTATGTATAAACACTATGTTACATGGACTCATCATTTCACCTCAAGTACCCATGTCGGACCCTCGACACTTGGTTCAAATTCATGGAAATTTTTCACAAAATAATCGGATTGGATGCTTGGACATGTACCCGTGTCAGACATGGGTACCCGAGTCTATGTAACATAGTATATAAACACTATTGAGTACCCTTATTCTTTTGAGATCAATTATAATCTTCAATAATGAAAAGAGAAAATAAGACAAATCTACATATTATTGGATGTTTTTTTTATGTAAAATTGATTTGTAGTGGCCATATGTAGCTTTTTTTTTTTTTTTTTAATTATTATTATTATTTATGCAACTAAGTTGTTTTGATAGTTATCAAATATCAATAATATCTTGGAGTGTTGTTCAATTACAGCAATATTTTGAATAAAGTTGGATTATATCTAAAACCTTTGTTCTAAAAACAAAACAATGCCAACATGATATAGAGATATGGAGTGCAAAAGACTAATGATGTGTTATGTGTTTGAGAACCTTAATCATAAAGAATAAGGATAACAGTTGGAAAGTAAAACTATGAAAAAATGTAAACAAAAAAACCTGTAAAATCTAGTTTGGTTGTTAGATAAGGAAAACTACTGAAAGTACTAGGAGTATATTTGAACATTTTTTTTTCAATTTCCAGTATATTTAAACAAAACCATTGAAATGGAATGTACTTCACAGAACAATTAAGATATCCCAGGTCTTTCACAGTAAAACCTTAAGTACATCACTAATAAAAATAAAATAAAATAAATAAAAAAAAAGAGAGAGAAAACAAAGCTCAAGGTCAGGCAAAATAAACTACAATAAGGTCAGAAGAAGCAAGAAGCTGAATTTTGTTTAAAATTTATTATGATAGCAAATATGGTTTAAGATTCTGCTTAACGATAAGCAAATTCGTGTGTTACACATACCCTTACCTAGTTTCAGTAAAAGTACTAATATTCGAATCATTCTTGAATCCCCTAGCCCCCAGCCTACAGATATAGATGTTCATACAATCTGACATCCACTATACATGCAGTTAGGAAGGTATCTACCAGTGAACATATACGTCAAAGCTTAAAGTTTTTTTCGTAATGATAAAAATGAGAACAAAAACTAGTAAAGATATATCAAATACCATTACTCAATCCCCCAGCCTACAAATATAGATGTTCGTACGATCTAGCATCCACTAGACATGCAGTAAGGAAGGTCTCTACCATTGGCCAAATTTTAAAGCATAATGTTTTCCATAACGATGAGAAAGAGAACAAATATCATTAAAAAAAAAGTACTCACATTCATTACAGGTGCGGAGTACACAGTCCCGTCTTCTTTAAAATGAGGAACTTTCTGAATTCTACCAATTGCGATTATCGCAACTTCAGGCAACTTAATTAGAGGAGAACCAAACTTTCCACCAATGGCTCCAATGTTACTGATGGTTATTGTTCCTCCAGATATATCATCCTGACTAAGCTTGTTTTCTGTTGCCAGTTGTTGCAACCTTGAAATTTCCTTGGTTATCTAAAAAACATAAGCGTCAATACTGAAACTGTTAACAGCAACAAATTATGGAGCTCAAGCAATTAATCTTAATCCTTAATAATTAAAAACAAGGACACGCAATACATATGATGAAACACTTGGAAAATACATCCAAATCATTTATCTTCTTTAAACATCTCAGATCTTGATGCCTCAATATGCATGCCAGTTTGACTAAAAATCAATCAAGACATCCCTTTAGTCATAACATCAAAAAATCCTAGTTTTCATGGTCGAATTTGACCACCAAAAGCATCTTTGTTTGGTTTTAAAAAGAGACGGGGATAATATAAGAACGCTGGTAAGTAGGAGAGTGATGGAAAAGTGTGGTGTTGTGAGGGCTTGTCTAAGATTGTGCTAGGAACAGACATAGCTTACAGCTCTAACAAAGGCAGAAAATTAATAAGAAGATTAAATTGTTAAGATGAGAATTACAATAAATTGAATGATAATTCCACTTTCGAGAGGTGGATTCTCTCCTAAGTATGAGCTTTCGAGAGGCTCACTCTATCCCAATAACATACCACTCAATATTCAACATGTCCTCTTAGATCCTAATGAGGCCTTTTTATAGAAAATCTCTCCTAACAAACCTCTAGCTTATTCCCCAAGTCACTACTAATAGACTATGACTAACATGCCCTCTCCTTAATATTGATTCCTTGCAGATTGCAGTGTGAATAAAGAGATTTTATTTTTTTTATTATTTTTTTTCCTAACAATGGACAGTAGAGATGATGATTTGAAATATGATGCTGCAGGTATGTTGAATGTCAAGCAAGCAAATAGAAAGAAGGGAAATTCTCCTTTATTTTTACAATCAAGCACTTACTAAGGTAGTTCTATTATATTCCCTACTTGAACCAAACAATAACAACAAACTATGATAGACATGGGGCTGCCACCTAAGTGTAATGGAAAGCAGAGGACAACAAGGCACTATTGGACAAAACTCGTCAATGAAACACTAAGGGGAGGAATAACAAAAGCCTGCTGGTTTGATACTTTGTGGAATAGGGACAAAAGTTAATTAGTGTAGCTTGCTTAATTATATAAGTAGTAGTATAGCAGTATAGGGCATGAGATTTGTAATGTGGAATGAGAGACAATGGTAAACTCAAGTTACTAAGAGAGTTGTTATCAAAAGAGAGTAATAGCCTAAAGCTATTAGCCTTTCGTTTGTAACCCTTTTGCCATGATCAATCACATTTTCAATTTTTCAGCTTAAATTTTCCTCTAATTCTTTAAAATATACCAGATTTTCAGTCTAAAACACAAAAACCCTTTCTTGATTAATATTCCATACTTCCCTTTATTGATTCCTTTCCCTTTCCATTGAGTGCGCCAAACAGCCCCTAAGTTGTCAAGGAAAAACCAACTGAATTCTTGCCTATGAGTCAAAAACAAATGATCGAACCACATGGTTTGATCATTTTTTTAAAAAAGCCTTAATAATGCCTTTCAGAAGTTCTTGCATCCATTGGGTAAATTACCAAAGAATTACACTATGTGTTTATATATGTTACAAAGAGTCCAAGACACAACCATTGTCCTAAAACTTGACAAAACGTTGGGGAGACAGCATTCATGAAACATATTTGTGTTTCTAAAAGATTGAGGATAGTGATTTTCAAATTTAAAGAAATACAGAAATATTCACAATTAGTTGTTGGGTAGTACATGTATAATATCTTACCTAAAGATCATTTGTGAATGTACACTGCATAACTTTCTGTATCCCCCCCCCCCCCTTCTCACACACTTTCTTTTGTTTTCTCTGTCAATATGGTCAATTGGAAGAGTAACTGCACAGAGGATGTTTAAACAGGGAAAAATGAAATTGACAGGCTTTGATTACCATCACACACTTAGATTAAAAAAAAATCAAGTGACATTAGGGAGATACAAAAAGAAAAATTCCATAAACTTGGCAGCTCATTGATGAAAAAGTCAAAGTGAAGTGACTGGATAAACAAACAGAAAGGCAAAACATTTACCTCCAATATAGAAAGGGATTGAACCTTCTTGACATTTGGTACAACCAAACCATAAGGAGTAGCCATGGCAATCCCAATATTATGAGTGCCTGTATTACAAAAACAAAGATAATTTTTTTTTATTACTATGAAGTCCATATAGCCAACAAATTTGGAACCACAAAATACATATGTTTAAATGGCAAACTGAGAAGATATAATGAATGGGAATGCACAGTTATGCACCTTCACTTCACGATTAATTCGTTAAAGTCTATCTGTTTCTAATGCATTCTGAAATTTTACAGTCCTGGAATAAAACTGATGTACATATGCAGTTATCAAATTGAGAATAAAATGCTTTAGATCCAATAAGATAGTAACTAGGGCAATAAATGGCTACTTAGCAGATCAGGCTTATTCAGAACTCATCAGTACTTCCCTGATAATTCCATACTAAAAATGCCATTCTGTTAAGCATTTGACTGTCGTTGCAGTTCCCAAGTTTAACATTAAACATACCGTCTTCTCTCTTATTCATTCTTTTATATACATTTCTTTTTTCTTAAATTTTTATTTTTAGGCATGTAAGAACCATCATATCTTATTATGAGATGTTTTCATACTTAGATACATCCAATGAACTTCTCCTTGCAACCAGGAACTTAAACGAGAGCCAAAGACAGGCAAAATATTTCAGAGGAAACACTAAGTAGTTTCTTGTACAAACCTTTGATAATGATCTCATTCGCATCTTCATTGAAGCAACTATTTAAAAGGGGGTATTTGTTTATTGCCCTTGATAGTGATTTGACCAAAAATGGAAGAAAAGTGTGCTTTATACTTGGATCGGGGTTTGCATTCTGAAAAGATGCTTTAAGTTCTACAAGTCCTCCACAATGAATTTCTTCAACATAACGAAAATGAGGAACTTTGGCAGCCATTGTCATGGACTTGACCATCGCGCGTTGGAATCCCCTGAAGCAGTAAACAGTTTAAATCATACTGTGCATGAACAACTACAAATCAGAAATGTCAATTAATTTTACAAGCACGTACTCCTAGAAAAATAAAAGATAATTGTGGGATGTGGCCAATACATTCAACTAAAAAACTTATGAGATGTGGATGAGAATGTACTCCACTAGTTAAGCTGTGAATGTGAAAAAAGGAATTTTGTCCCAAACAATTTCAGGTGATTTATGCTCAAATATATTTTCAGTGTTCTTTTGATTAAAACAATTACCTTTTGTCACAAATACTACACAGCTTCCTATAAAGTTAATCCAATACTTATTTTCATACCACAAATACCTACTTCCTCTGTTCTTTTTTACTTGACTTGTTTCTTTTATCACGTTTGCCAATGCAAAACTTTAACGATTAATAACTTTAATTCTTCTTAAGTAAAAATTATAAAAGTTATATATTATGATAGTACTTGTTGAGACGAATTTAAAAAGACCCACAATAGACGGTCAAATGAGAGGTGGTGAATAGTGTAAAAGTCAAAGCGGGTCAAGTAAAAAAGAACGGAGGAAGTAATACACCCTTATTGACATTTCCTAGGTTCTTTACTCAATTTTGGTGGTCACTTTCACATTTCACCCACTTTTTTTTTTTTTTTTGTTTTTTAATCAGGACATTTGATCTTCATCTAGAATACAGAAATGAGACTGGAAGTTTCAACGACCAGCTATTTCAACAAATTCTACTTCTCTTATTATACGAAACTTGGGATATATCATAGGAAATACTAAGTAGCAATAAGCGCCATCTTCAGCAGAAACATCACATCACAGTATCACAGTGCTACTTGACTACTTATGTACAAGACATATTAGCAGATTATCTGGGAAACAAAATACCAAAATAACTTGACTTCAATTGCAAAGCCATCAATCATTTCTTTACTAGATTGTAACTTGCAAGAATTTAATTGCTTGATGCAAACATGCTGTTATTGAGATTTGAGAGTGTTTTATAAACAAAATTCATTCCAACAAATAAAGTAAATAACTAAGCATATCGGAGAAGGAAATACACAAGAAACAAGGAGCATATTATGTCCAGAGATGTCAGGTGATGCACATCAAATTCTATTATTTAAAAGAAAATTGTAACTGGAAGTATCTATTTGCTAGACGAAAACCCACAGTTGACGAGACTTGTTTAATAAGAAAAATTATTCCAAGCAAAATAAGGAAAAAAACTACGCATCTGAGGGAAAGAACAACTGAACAACACTAGTAAACAAGGAGCATACTGTGTCCAGGGATTCCTGGTATCACATATCAAACATTACCTTAGCTGTAAGGTTCTGTCTTCATACAATGAACTCCCAGTCACTAATTTGTCAGAGCAAAATGCATATGGCTCAGCAGCAACATCTTTAGCACTGGCATAATTGATAATATCTTCTTTTAATATCCTTCCATCTATACCACTACCTTTAATATCATTAATGTCAATTCCATGTTGCTTGGCTAAGTTACGAACAGCTGGTGTGCACAGTATGCCACTCAACCTACTTTTACTTGAGATTGAAACTTGACTACTTAACTCATCTTGTTTAACAGGATCAGATATATTGGATTCAGTGTTACCATCACTTACAGTTGAAGGAGAAAATTCTTCAACAGCCATCTTCAAAAGTGTTTCTCCAACCTGCTTACCAGAAAATTACAGTAAAGAAGAGGGCTACTAGAAGGGATACCAAAATACTATTACATAGCCAAAAACAAAACAAATAACATCAGAATTTTCCAATCCTTCTTTCATTATCTTGAAAATGTACGAGAAAAGTACCAAATGATATATGCCATACGTTGACATGATATCTTTATTTGGGAGGGAGGAGAGACATGTTGGAATGGTGTCCTTCAACCAAAGTGCATTTCTCTAGACAACAGTTCATAAAATATGTCACGAGTTGATGATTTATTAGTTAAGTAATTGATACTTTAGCCGGTACTTGCAATGTAAATTGATCCTATAATTGCACACATAAGTATGGAATGAATCAAAGAAGTACATGGGATAAGCTCATAAGGCGACACCACAAAACAAGCTGGCCCAAGACTTAGAAAAAGCTAAGGGCAACTGGCCCATGGTATTAAACTTTGGTTGTGTCACTGCATTGTGACGGCATTGTTAAGTTTTTCAACTGTACTGCGACTGAGATATAGTGAAGAAACAGAAACAAACCATCAGCATTGCCGACGAAAGTTGCAAACCAAGTAAATTAGGAGAGATTACTTAACCTAAGTTATCCTGAGTGTGAAAGTGGTTTTCAAACTTACTTTGCATGTTGACACTAGCATGGGCAGCAATGTAGGCTTCAGTCCATGGAATGTTTCAAGGTTTGTTGGGTTAGATACAATATGCTTAGGAGTTTCCAAAGCATATTTTATTAATATGGCTTAAGCAGGAGCTTGATTGAACTTTACAGTAACAAGATATGATTGCGCTTGGATTAATTTGAAACTTAGGTGGGCTCTTTAACTCATTAACCACTATTGACTTTTAATTATACAACAATATTAAGCATAATCATTTCATTAGATTTAGTTAGGTTTAATTAGATTAACTTAACACGTAGTAATTTTTTTGTGTGATTTTGTATCTAATTAAAATAATAAGTTAAATGTTAGATATACATGGCTCATCCAAAAGACTGCTTTTTTTTTTTGCTGATTGGATGATATTAAAGTTGCTCCAAAGTCAATTAGTTCCAAGATGTGGACTCTATTCACAGCAGCATCTGCTTTGAAGATGGGAGTTGATAAGTAAACTGTGTTGCATCTAGACAACATAATGAAGATCTAAAAATTTCTGAAAATTTTCAAGGTTGTCAAAGATCAACTGCTCTTTAACATTAGGAATCTAATCGCTACATAAAAATAAAAATAAAAAAATAAATAAAAACATAAAAAAAAAAAAAAGGTATTTAACATGTTTGCACTTCTTAACTATTGAGAAGCACTAGAAGTCCATGTCAAATAAAGAATTAAATAAGTCTGCGTATCTTGAACCTCCTCAGGGACGGGATCTGCAATTATTTAGTTGATGCTTATCTAGAATAACTATAATTTAATGCATTTCTGAATTAATGTTCACACAAACCTTATAAGTAGTAATGACAATTAATTAATTTAAACTGGGTTGCATTTTAGGATTCATCCAAATGGCACTTGAAGAACTTGGCATTATCAAATTATGCAAACATCCTAAAACTAATAGCGCTTTTACAAAATTTCTGGCATTTATAAGAAAAAGTGTTTTGGTACATGAAGGGAAAGAATCTCAAAAGAACCAGTAGAGGACTTAATACTGTAGTAAAAATGCAAGACAGTGCACCAGCTGAATTGCAGCACCTCTAATTGTGCAACCATAAGTCATTCTCATTATTACAATTAATCTATGATGAGTTGCTCACTATAAGACCTAGTGTTTCTTGTCCATTTGACACTTTCTTACTTCTTTATCCTAATGTTCTTTATGTTAAATGATATCCATAATGACTTACATAACAAGTCATACTTCGCTGGTTGAAATTGAGGTCTAATGGCATCCATTTGACTGTACTCTAACTGGTAAAGCTAAAAGTATACTTTAAACCACATACCTTCACAATGTCCCCTGGAGCATGAAGAATATGTGAAATCTTTCCCCTATATCGACTGGTTATTTCTATGGTAGCTTTGTCACTTTGGACCTCGCAAAGTGGTTGAAATTCTTCAACTTCGTCTCCCTGCAAAAAGATTTCCTCAGGAAGACAGGAACATCATATCAACCTACATTGCTTTCTATTTTCTAACTATCAATTGAACAACGAATCAATTTCAAGACCAAGCTAAAGTATTTTGATTTTACTTACCTCTTGTACAAACCACTTCAAAAGCTCACATTCAGCAATACCTTCACCTGTTTGTGCCAGAGGAACTTCAACCAACTCACCCAATGAAGACTCAGTAGCAGCATGGGTTGTGAAGCAAGAAGCATTGAAGGAATAGTGGAGACTCGGCTATAATACATCAGTAAAAAGGAAGAGTATATGAGTGACCAGCAAGTTGATAAGAAAGGAAAACATAACAAGCAGACAGGAAATTGAAAATCTTCAAGACTACATCAACAAATTATCTAATAGACAGTCTCTCGCTAACAAAGAAACAAAATATTGCATTACAAAAAATGGCCCAGCCAGACATCCTAGCAAATTCTGTTTCACACCGCCTCTCTGCTCATTCACCCCCCCCCCCCAAAAAAAAACCCCCCAATCCCCCACAACCCAATAGAAAATGAAACTGTTTTGGAATTCCTCGGAAATAGATTTAGCTACCGAATATATTCATTCCCATTAGTTGCAATCAGTTATTTTATCCACTTCTAACGCTTGATTTTAGAATTATCATCTTACCAGTTCCTATGAGAGTAATGCACTTCAAATTGAAGCACTTCTTGTATCTATTTCATCAATATTCTACAGTGTAAGACATATAACACCTCGACCCCTAAACTCACACATAAAGAAGCCTGTGAGAGACATGCAATATATTGTACAGTACAAACATGCAACGATTCAATACCGTGCAACTTCATTAGGTTGAGCATCATTTCCAATCAGGAGCTTAGGAATTTCCATTTCCAAATAGAACCATAATTATTAACTAATTACGAGGGTGCTACATTAATATGCCCTCAGATATATCACAACCAAGATAACTTTCAGATGTATATTTGAATGCATCCTTGAAATAAGGCAATCAGCATAAACAACATAAATATTGACTTAAGAACATGATACAGCAACTCCCAAGAGTTCACTATTCTAAAAGGTTTCCACGTCCCTTTCTACTCACATCGGTTTCAGACAGACCGCCAAATACATTTTTCAATCACCTTTTTCTGCATTTTAAAAGCTCAAAATGCAGAAGCATTTCAAACTTGTTACTCAGTGTTATGTACATCTAAATTTAATCTGCATGCTCTTAATTATGCTACCACTGAAAAAAAATACAATTAATAAACTAAATCAAAGCTCAAACTAGCAAGAAATTTCACAACTGCAGAAATTCAGTAAACAATATACAAGATAAACGGTAAAATACACAGAAATATTAATGGTAACAAAACCAAGAAACTAAAAAAATACTATTAATCAAGTTATTCTTAATCCATTTCAAATTAGTCGACGCGTTTTGACTTTTAACATTTAGTTAGAAAGTATAATTTGACTAACTTTTGAGTTTTATATATGAAAAAAATACCTTTAAATATATATTTTTAAAATATCAACTTCATAAAATTTTTAATTAATCATATAATTAATTAATAACTATAATTAAAAAAAAACTTATCAAAACCTCGGAAGTATGTACAAACCAGATCATTAGGCTTAATTACTCGACAAAATCGAGACGGAACGAGGAACCCTAAGAAAGGACGCCGGAACTCAGAACCGACCGCCAACGCTGACGCCGTGCGAGGAGAAGAGGAATAAGAATAAAGAAATCGGAGACCGAAATTGAGAGGCTTCCTCCGGCATAGTTGTCGAATTGAGATCATAGTTTATGGTTAAGGTATAAAGCGTAAAGAAGTTCAAACAAACAATGGTGGAATTTTGAGAATTTGATCATCATATATTCATATGTTATTATGTAGCTGTCAAATCCATTTAGGAGTAGTAGTTTGGATTTTAATGGGATTGGACTGATGATTCAGTTTACGTTACTTAATTTGATGTTAATTGTCATAACTATCTTTTTTTCTGATTTTGTCTTCTTTATTTTAATTTTTTTTGGGGTTGTTTATTCATCGTTGTTATCTAGAAAGGTAGAAGTATTTAAAACACGTCATTGTCGACTCATTTGCGTGCTTCTTCTTCCGAATCATGTTATGTGGGAGGGAATTCTGTATCAGATTTTTGGGTGTAAAAATGTTGATTAGGACAACTTACGAAGGAAAAACTAGTATTTAGCCCGTGTAAATGTGTAATATAGAAGCGTTTCAAGCGACTAACAGTGAGCCCAAAACATTCGTCTCGCAAGGGTAATACTATTGGGTGATCAAATATTACAATTGGATATAAGCGGTACTAAATACACTCTTTTAGAAGGTGTTTGATTCATTAAATTGTATTATATTAGTATGAAATCTTATACTAAAAAGGTACTCATACTAGTTTAAAATTGATTGGTTTTAATGTTGGAATAGATTATATGTTTCATTAATAGAATGGATTTTAAATCTTAGGGGAAGAGTTGTGCGTGGGATTTCATAAGTATAAGGTTGAGTTAGAACCCTTTGGGTATGGAATTCCATACTTAAAAAGCTTAACCAAACAAGAAAAAAGATGGAATGGATTCTAACTTCATTCCAATCCATTCCAAAAGATCCAACCAAACGACCCCTTTAGTAGTACTTAAAAATTTTTCAGTTTTACTCTCTCCGTTTCGTAATAATCACAACACTTTTCCTTTTATCCGTTTCATAGTAATTGCAACACTTCTGATGAGTGACATTTATACTCTTAGGGTAGTGCTTTTGCTTTGTTTTAGTTTGTCTTAGGTTGTTTTATAGTTGTTTTGTTCAAATAATCCGTGTATTCATGTCTCGATGTGTTTTTGGTGAAATCGCGTATGTGCTTGAATTCTTGCATCTATTGCGTGTTCGCACCGTTACCCCTACCTTATTGCTTCCCTTGGTGTTTGTGCCTAGGTACTTGAAGTCAAGAATTGCAAAGAAGAATCCAAGGAAGCACGAGTGATGATTCGAAGAAAGCAAGGTGCATGACGTGCAAATCTGTGCGCGGGCGCACAAAGAGGGCACAAATGAAGAACGAAGGCGAAACCTTCGCGTGGGATGTGCGTAGGCGTGCAGCCCAGCAGCAGGGGCGCACACCCAACAGCACAAGCCGCGCATACCCACAAAAGCGGGGCGCGCAGCCCCTGTACGCAGGCGCGCGCCAGACCTCTGTTCGGCTTATTTTCACGGCTCTATAAATACCCGAGGCTTAGCTTTGTGCGGACGTCTTCTATTCTTTTTAGATCTTTTTCTCTAGTTTTTAAAAGAGCATTTTCTCTAGTTTAGGGTTTAGGGAGGATTAGCCTCCATTGTTAGGGTTTTAGAGAGAGAAAGTGAGGGTTTCACCGTTGTTGAGCTTGGATCTTGAAGAGGAAGATTGATCATCTTGCTTGTAGATATTCACCATCAATCAATGAGCAATTTTACCTTCTCTCCTCTATCTTATTTGCTTTCTTTTAATTTAGCTTTGTTAATTGCTTGTTAATTTATTGATAAATCTTGTTAACCGGTGCTAAATACACTCTTTGGCACCAGTTAACTGGTGCCAAATACCCATGGCGCGCTTTTTTTATTTCAGTACAATAGGCACCGGTTTGAAGCCTGAACCGGTGCCTTTAACTGTAATTTTTTTTTCGGCAATAAATAATAATATTTATACCAATACTAATAATAATAATGAGAACTTGTACATCCTGCATTAATTCTACCATTATTATATAACAATAACAATAATAATAATAATAATAATAATAATAATAATTATAATTAATAATAATAATTATAATTAATAATAATAATTATTATTATTATTATTAATAATAATTATTATTATTATTATAATTAATAATAATAATTATTATTATTATTATAATTATTAATAATAATTATTATTATTATAATTAATAATAATAATTTGTAAATTGAAATAATAAGAATACATAGATATTAATTAATAATCCCAAATGCAATACTATGTACAAACAATACTAATTTTTTAAAAAAGTGTCATAATTACAAACAATACTAATCAATAATGTAGTTAACAAGTTCAAATAGAAATGATATTTACAAGTTAAATGTGATGAAGGACGCCAACATGTCTCAAACTTCATTAAGTTCTTTTCTCGTCACGGACCTCCCTTTAATACCTTGCAAAACTTAGAATAAACAAAAAGTATGTTAGAATTAATTACTTAGGTTATGCATGTAAAAAAACATTTACAAGTTCAGTTAGGCAAAAATTTATTACTTAGGCCAATTTGACTACTAGGATGCCTATTTCATTTTTCTACTAGAATTAATATCTATTGTAGAATAAAAGATATGGCCGAAATAGTTGGACGGTGTTAGTTTTGGATAGAGTTTGGTATTTCGTTCATATCTTTTCGTTATAGCTCGGAATTGAGATTATGATATATCATTGGAAAGATAACTTCAAGGGATATCCAACCATCTAATATTTGGAAAAAAATTATGAGGTATGGAAATCATATCTGAACGTCTTTTCATTCGAATATAATATGGACTTTCAAAAAGAGGAGTTTTATTCAATTTCAAACTCTTTGATCTCTATCTTTCGCAAAGGATAGATTAAAACCTTCTAGAGAATTTTAGAAGTTCCTAATGAATCCTAATTGGTTTAAGGTATTTGGACCCTCACATGATCATTGGGTCGTAGGTGAGGTGGACCTAGGTTTGGTTTGGGCTTGGTTTAGTATTTTGGCCCTAACTTATTTGTTTTAAGTCGGATTTGAGCTTATAATATATCATTGGAAAACTCTTTTCAATCCCCATCCAACTTCAAAATTATTGGACCAGGATTATGGACCAAAATAATCTGGTTTGGACGTTTTTATGAGTTAGACACGAAATGAATGATTTTGAGGACATGAAATGAATGATTTTGGGTTTAAAGGCACGAAATGAATGATTTTGGTTTAAAACATTTTAGGAAAGGTTGTAGACATGTTCAAGGCTTAAGGGAACTTCACGAGACTCTTTAACTCTTCACCAAACTCGTTAATCAAAACGTGAAAGATACTCATCACTAGGTTTGGTTTTTGGGGAGACACAATCAGGTGTCTACAGGGGTATTCGCTTTTATTGATCCCAATTGGTCACATAACCTATTATAAAGATTTGTAAATACGTTTCATCAGCCGATTGCTCCAAAAAAAAAAAGTAATCAAATAAATAATAAAAAGAATTTTTTTTTTAAAAAAAAAAAAACCAATCCCAGCCCCGGCCATTGCCACTACCAGCATGTGGTAACCCACACCTTCTCCTGCACCCCCTAATGGCCTAACCCTAGCCCCCATCTTCCCCAGCAATCCCCTTTCCCCAAATTCCACCTTCCTTGGCAAAGGGAGGTGGGGTGGTTTTCAGTGGGTGGAGGTGGGAATTGGGTCGATTTGCGTGGTGGGTAGAGGAGGAGAGGCAGTTTTGGGCAGTTTAGGGTCAGGGAGAGGGTAGGAAAGGTGGGGCTGTCGTAGGTGGGGAGGGGAGGAGTTGTTGGCTGGGTTTTTTTTTTAATTTTAATTTTATTTTAGGACCATTTACATGCTTACACTTGTAAATAATTTAAGAAAAAAACCTAATTAATTGTTTACCGGTCACTTGGGACTAATAAAAGCGAATACCCCCTAAAGTTGGGATTATTCAATAATAATACAAAACTGGGATTATTGAAGCGATGAACGGGCTAAAGTTGGGATTATTAAAACTAATTTTTCCATTATTTTATGAATATAATTACATAACTTGGGATTATTACAAAATAATCTTTATTTGGGAATAATTTTTACCAAAACAAAAAAAATAAAAAAATGAAAAAATAAAAAAAAAACCTCACTGTGAAAAGTAGGGGTGAAAGTATTCGGATTAAAACCGAACCAAACTGAAAACCAAACCGAAATAGTAATTCGATTTGGTTTTTCTTCTATTATATTTAGATTTGATCGGTTTGGAAAAATTAAAAATATGAATTACGATTAGAGGTATAAAAAAACCGAAAACCGAAATACAGACTAAGATTTCGACCCATTACATTAAGCCCAATTTCTTTTATAAAATATCCCAACCCCTTTCTCCTTTTATATATAAATCATAATAATAAAGCCCTAATTCTCAATTCTCCTTTCTCGGTAATTCACACTCACAAAGAATGTATTTAACAAGAAAAAGTTGAATTATTGCAGGAATTTTCTAAGTGAATTTTGAGTTTTGGGTTTGAATAATGTTGCAAAAGAAGGGAACAAATATCGGTTTAGATTGAATTCTCATTAGAAATGAGGAAATTCAAGTTTATATCCTTGATAAACATGACTTGTTTATCAAAGGGTATTTTTGTAAACTTACGTGTCAATGAAGGGGTATATTGGTAAAATCCACATTTCATAAGTAACTATTCTAACACAGTTGCATTGCCGTCATCCTCAACACTAAGTAATTTTTCCATTGAAGCACAACCATCTTCAAGCACGAGCATCTATGACGGAGAAATTTCTCACAAGCACACATCAAACACCTACCCTTTAAAGGTTAAGCATTCCCTTTATTTTCCTATTTTTTCTTAGGGTTTTCTTAAAATTCGGCAGTGAAGCCACATGAATTAAATTCTATTTCTCCATTGAAGCAGCTGAGCTTGATAACCTCCACAAAAAAGCATACTCAATCTGATTTCTCCATTGAAGATGATTATGAGCTTTCTAGTTCACGAATACGACGACCATGGGAGGAGTGCTTATGAGCTTTCAATTGGGCTTCATGATGACTGTGGGATGGGAGGAGGAGAGAGAAAGTTAAGAAGGGTGGCCATGGGGAGGGAGGAGGGAGAAAGCACATATGAAGATATTGATGCTGGGTATGGTGGAGAGAGAAAGCTCATTAGTATAGAGTAACAGCGTTATTGACTGCTTTTTGATGAGCTGGCAAGAAATTTTTATGGACATAATTGCAGAATTGCCATTGAGACAAACGTTTTATGTTTATCTAGGAGATTAATGGGGGCCTCCTCAATTAGAAACATCGAATTAATTCGGTTTAGTTTGGATTAGATAGAATCTTAATTTAGTTTAGATTCGG